CAGAGGCGGCGGCGGCAGAGGCGGGCGGCAGCGCGGTTTTCTTGGCCGCCTTCTTCTCCTTCATCCAGGGGTACTCGGGTGGCTGCAGGGCGCCGGCGGGCACTGGGCTGCCGCGGCTGCCCGCGGGGCTCGGCTTGGGGCGGCCGCCAGCGCCGTGGCGAGGGTGACTGCCCGGGTTCAGGCTGGGAATGGTCTGCTCAAAAGGAGGAGGAATCAGTGTCGAGTGTGAAAGCGTCGAGGTCTTGATTGATGAACTTTGAAATGTATCAGCGACAGGGGGAAAAGATGTCAGGCACTCAGCGAGCGACGGCTGGCTATTGATAAAACCAATCTCTCGCTCAAATTCGTAATTCATGGCCTTCTCCTTGGAGCCCCCTCGGAGAAAAAGTTCCCTCTTCTGGAGGGGCTTTGGGGGGGCAAGGCCCAGGAAAAAGGCGAGAGCGGAGGGAAAAAAAAATCTATCATAGAAGATCGCTGCTGGGGTGTTTTTTTTCTAATTCACTGATTACAGCCGTATGGGGACCGCGCTACTATTAAACTATTGAATTCATGGAGACAAGGTTGAAATTGGACCGAATTGGCTGTCACATGATTGCTTCTGCCCAATGACAATTTGGGCTTTAATCAAAAGAAGCCACTGTCTGTTTGATTGATCCAAAAAAGTCGGGAAGGAACGCCTCATTGGGGGCCAGCGAGGCTTTATTTACACTTTTTTCAGGGCAAAAATACATATATGTGGGTGTGGGTGAGGATGCCCGGGAGTGCGTGGGGGCGAGGGTGCCTTCCTGCCTCCTGATTAGCACAGATCTGGTGTGTGCGCCTGGAAGTGTGTGGAGTGTGAGTGTGTGCGAGTGTGAGCCCTGCTGCCGGCCCGCCGGCGGCTGCCCTCTGCCTCCCCCGCACACTCCGCGCATTGTTTGGGACTGTCGGGAAGACGCCTCGCACCTCACAAATCATTTAAGCACCTCAGTCTGACGCCTGCAGTCATTAACAAAGTAATCCATTAATCTTCAAAGTTTTGACACCCGAGAGCCCCGCATCCCAGCCACTTAAGTTCTGCTAAGGCAGGAGGAAGGAGCAGAGGGAGAGGGGAGATGAGACCGGGAGAAGAAAGAGAGAGGGAAGAGGGAAGGAGGGAGGGAGGAAGGGAGGGAGAGAGGGAGAGGGAAGAGAGAGAGAGAGAGAAGAGAGAGGAGACACAGAAAAGAGAGGGTTCATTTTGGGGTCTCCCCTCTTTTATTTCCTTTTCCTCCTCCGCCTTTTCTAAAACCAGTTCCTGGATCTCGGAAGTGATCTCTGTTTTCCTTCCTCTCCGTCTTTCCCTCTTTTCTTCTTTTTCCCTCTTCTCCCCTCTCCCCTTCCCTCTCACTTCTATCCACCTCTCCTTCCCCAAACCCCTCCCGCATGCCCTCGCCCCCCTCCCAAAGCCCAGCTCGGAGTCCGCGCCCCCGGACCCGGACCCTGGCCCATTGTTAGCCGGCTTTTCCACGGCAGCTATGCATCTGGCTCCAGAGGGAAGCGGAAGACGGGAGGCGGCTCTCGAAGCTTCCCAACCTTCCTGTGCCATCAACTTTTCAAGAGTGGCTCGAGAAAGATAGATGCATGTGCCAAGCAAGACAACAACCCCAGGTCCATGTGTCCAAATCCCTGTAGCCAGGGCGGCGGCCACCCAAAGCAGTGCCACCTGGAGCAGGCTCCTGCGGCTCCTGGCATTCTGGGTTTCATACCCGTAGGGCTCGGGTGTGGTGAGTATTTCTGATTTCCAGGAAGTCTGTTGGAAGTTAGCAGCAGGGAGGGAGAAGGCGCTTGTTCCTTTCTCTCTCTCTCCCTCTCTTTTTTTCTTTTTCTTTTCCTCTCCTTCTTCTCCTGGTCCTTGTCGTTCTTATTGTGGGCTTGTGGGTTCAGATGCAAAACGTGCTCCCTGGCATCCCAAATTGTCTCCTGCACCTTTCTGCTCCTTGGCCACCTGGGATGTTTGCACTCAGGTTCTGCTGTGGGAAACAGTACCGCAGGTGAGAGGGGGCAACCTCAGGAGGAATTATAAAGGTTCTCTATTCTCTGTTCACGCTCTCTTTTTTTCCAATTCGGAGACTTGAGACTGAGGGTATCTTGGACTGTGCTGGAGGTTTCAAAAGATAACACCTTTAGGTACCAAACAATAACTTTTTAAAAATCCACCGAGCCAGAAAGAGGGAAAGAGGCTGAGAGAGAAATCTGAAGGTATCTCTTTTTCCTCAGACCCTGAGGATGATGATTCGCTTTTGCTTCCTTTGAAATGGACCAAGTGATCAGACTCCCCCAGGCCGGCAGGCATCCGTGGCAGGAAAATAAATCATTCTGATGGCCAGGGAGAGAGAGGTTGGTGGGGGAAAGAAATCTACGCGGAAAACAAGAAAGGCTGACCACGGCACAAGGCTAGGACTCCATTTCTGAGGCCGGCATCAAAGGGGGCTTGGGTGGAAATTAGATATAAAGTGGCCTCCGTCATTGACTAGCCCAGAGCATCGCCTTACAGATAGAGATGCTATTTTGGAAAATGTGAGGTTTTTCAGTTTTCTTGCTTTTATTCCAAACAAAGCTCTGAAGGAAGTCTGGGTGCGATCAATCTTGCTCACCAAAAGCCTTGACAGCTTCTGGCCCTTAAGAACACATTTCAGCTTCGAGCTTTTTCCAAGATCAAATGTGGCCGAGCAAAGAGGAGAGCAGGAAACGCAAGTAAACAAGGAAAACTAGTCTTTTTAAAGATCTTTTTGGCAGCAGGAAGAGTTATAAGGCGGCTTTTAGGAAAGGTGCTTTTGCACATTCTGGGATAGTGGCTTTGGCATTTGTTCTTACAGAAATAATATTGAGGGGTTAAGGGGAGGGGGAGTTAAGGAGAAGGAACAGCGCTGCCCCCATATCGCTGAGGCTTTGTCAAGGGCTGCGTGGGTGAGAGCTTTCTGCTCGCCTCAGCGGCCTTAATTCAAATACCATCTGGAAGCAAACCCTTTTCTTTGACCATTCAACACTGAAATCTTCCCCAAATCTATTACTTTAACTCAGGAATATTTCAATAAGGACTTATTTTTAATATCTTAGAAGCTGAAGTTGAGATCAATATTTTTTTCTTTGAAATCTAAAATGAATGTTTTGACTGCTAAGATATGGGAAATCATACTGGAATCTCATTTAAAAATCAGCGCCCTGAGGGAAGGAGGATGCCTCCAAACCAGTTGCCTCTCAGCTAAACGGTAGATTTTAGAAATGGGTTCAAACAGTGGTATCTCCAAAAGATTTTCCTCTGTGAATGGATAGCGCTGGCTAGCTCGTTCTCTCTCTCTCTCTCTCTCTCTCTCGCTCTCTCCCTAGCACTCTATCTCCACTGTTCCTTATTTTGCCAGGTAGTTTTATATATGTCTGTAAAATTATTACTCATAGAAAGACTTCCGTGGTTGCTTAGCCTGTTCAGTTCAGATCTGAACAACCAAAACAGCGGAAGCTCCAGTCCTCACAAAGACTGGATTTCCAGCCTTGCATTTCTGAGGTGCGCCATATTTTGGCAGGGAGGTTGGGGTGGGGTGGGGAGTAAATCTAGTCCTTCCATAACCCAAACTCTTTAAAAATCCAGAAAAACATATATGTGTCTCAAGAGCTCCAGACAGATGTGGGAGAAGCATCTCTGGCTGTGAGAGAAACACCCAGATCTCTACAGCTCCCTGGCTTTGCATCCTCCGAGCATTTTTCTTTTTCTTAAAATGTGAGAAGGTTCCCTAAAAGCAGCTCCTGTGGAACCAGGAGATACCCCAAAATGCCTCCAGGGCCTATTTCTAAAGATCATCTGAGGGAGCTTCTCAGGGGAAAGATAGAGGCCAGGATGATGGATATTTTGGATTGCAAACAAAATGGCGACATTTTTCATCTCCGTCTCTGAAAGATACAATCCAGGGAGAAGGAGGATTTATTTCTCACATCAGATGCTTCTGATCCGAGACGCAGGTGGTTTCTCACTTCCAATTTAGAAAGGGGATGTTGATGGGGATACAGTCCTGAGGTTTTCACTTTCTGAATTTGGTTCCTTCTCCAAGCAATTCTTTAATATGAAAATAAAAATATTTCCCTTTCCTGTGCCTGCTTTTGGTCTGCCAGCCAGTCAGCTGGCAGCCCTATCTTCAATCCAGGAGTAGAAATGTAATGTTTAGCTCCTGCAGCATCAAATGAAAGAAGTACTTATAAAATTGCATTTTTATTAGAAAGATACCAATCTCCTTTCTTTCTCCTCCTCCCCCGGGGGCCATAAAAGGAGAGTGAGGAGGGATGAAGGAGAGGAAGTAAATCCAGGGGATGCCAAATCCTAAATTCCGGGATAAAGAAGAAGCTGGGATGCCAGCAGTCCAGGGAAGGGCTTGGGGAGGCTCCTGAGAGTTCAGCCTTTCTTCTGCTGGAGACCTGGGTGAAGCTCTGTCTCCTTCGAGCCTCCTGGCTCCCAGTGGCGATTTTAAGAGTCATTCTCTCCTCCTGGAGCGATAAGGGACAGAAGAGCATCCACAGAGAGTCCGGATGCTCCAGAAAATGCTCTGCATCCTCCGCATGGCTCATGATTCCCAAGATTAAAGCATTGGCTGGTCCACTTTGACCTGGAGGAAGATCTTGGAGAAGACATCCCTGCCTTACTCCCCAGCGGGGCCTCTCTGGCACCTGTGCATCCCCGCCCCGCTTCGGGCCGGCTGCCTTTTGTTTGTCCCGCAGTCAGCAGCTCGCAGCCCCTGCGGCCCCGCAGGCCCCTCCGCGGCAGCTGGGAATCAGGCAGCCCAGCGGGCTGGCGCTCGGCCTTTTCCAGAACTGCCCGCCTCCGGGAGCTCCTGCAGCCTTCCCAAGAATTCGCCGTGCTCCCAGGCGAGCCGCCTGGCCAGGCCGCACTCCCGGAGCTGGAAGGCTTGCCTCGGCCTGCTCAGCCACTTTGCCTGTCTTAATTCCACGCAGACCCCCATCTTCGGCCAAAGAACCCCTTCTGAACACGGATATTATTCAGAATAAAAACTTTATTTATTTATTTTTTTGTTTAGTTTCTCAGAATGTGAGCAGCAAGGAATGTAGAACTCTCGAAACAAATCTAGCATTTTTCATGTTTACATATTTTTTTTTTCAGTTTCGCCGGATGTTACAATCCTAAATCACTGTTTTCAAAAGCTGGATCCTCTCTGGTATTATTGCATCATTACCGTTTTTATAAAGGAATTATATTTCCCTTTCAAATAAAAAAATTTTTTCTATGTACGCCAATACACTATTGAACAAAAGGCCCAAGAAACCTTCTGAACAATCAGGGTACAGAATTTCTTTAATATAAATACGAACGGATGGGGATAAATAATATTTAAAACTTAGATTATTCAATGCTTGCAAAAAAAATATAAATAAATCTGACTGTTCACCAGCATACACACACGGAAAGACGTACACTTAGTCATCCTTGCACAGGGAGCCCCTGTTTCAAAGCGCCTTTGATTTTTTTTCTCTCTCTTTACAAGAAGTGCAATTTAAAAAAAAACACCTAAAAATTAAAAAAAAAATAAAGTAACTGCTTCCCCTCGGGAGCCATAATGTACGAACAAATTCACATTGAAGAACTCGGCTAGAAAATTTGTTCATATACCCTGTTTCTGATCAAAGAATAGAGAAGGTAAAGGGTGCAGGGCCCGCGGACGAGCGAGGGGTGGGAGGAGATAAACATCGCTACTGATACTGACGGCCATTCCAGCAACCAAGATTGCTACGTCACATAAACTATAAAAACGCGTTACCAAAGAAAACAAAACCGGGTGGGGGTGGGGGGTAGACGGGGCGGAGGAGAAAAAAGGGAGCGCAGGAAGAACCTTAAAACCAAACCAAAAAAAAGTAAACGTAGAAGAAAGGTGGGGGCAGAGGGACTCTCCTGGCGCGCAGCCCCGAGCCCACCATCACAGGTGGGTGAGCTTGGGGGCTTCCTGAATTCTTCCCTGAGAAGGATGGTGGGCGGTAAGGTCCGTGTAGGTGGGGTGCGGCTCCCCTGGCCCGGGCCCGTGATGGTGGCCGCTGCCCAGCGGCCCAGCACCCCCGTAGTCTATGGCTGCAGAGGCGGCGTGGGGGAGGTGAGTTAGGCCAAAGAGGGCAGGCCCAGAGTTGCTCATGGGCTCCACATAGCTGCCCCCCACGAAGACGGGGCTTCCCTGTAAGTGTGGCGTCCCATAGCTGCCGTTGCCCTGCAGGCCATGCGCGTGTGGGTCATAGTCGGGTGTACCCCCCGCCCCCGCCCCCGCCGCGGTGTAGCGCTTCTGTGGGGGCAGTGGGGGCGCGCAGCTTGGCAGGGGTGCGGGATAGGAGGCGGGGGGCAGCCCATAGGCGCCCTGGGGAGGCTTGGAGAAAGGCGGGGGCGACTGGGGCTCATACGGGACGCTGTTAACCAGCGAATGCATAGAGTTCAGATAGCCGCCCGCGCCAGGGGGCACCGGGCTGCGACTTGGGGACTGGCCCCCTGATGACGTCAGCATGCCCTTGCCCTTCTGATCCTTCTTGTACTTCATGCGGCGATTCTGGAACCAGATCTTGATCTGGCGCTCTGTGAGGTTCAGCAGGTTGGCCATCTCCACCCGGCGCGGCCGGCACAGGTAGCGGTTGAAGTGGAACTCCTTCTCCAGCTCCACCAGCTGCGCGCTCGTGTAGGCGGTGCGCGCCCGTTTGGACGACGCCTGCCCAGGCGGGCTCTTGTCGCCAGCGCAGCTCTCCCCTGTGAGGACAGAGGAGACAGCAAAGGAGAAAGGAAGAGAGCCATCAGGGGCTGCCTTAAGCCCCGCCTAGCCCCTGACCCCTCCAGGCCCCTCAGTTGCTCCAGGCTCCAAGATCGCTCTATCAGGGCCCAGAAAAGGGGATGAGGAACTAGGTCCCCTCCTCTGTCCTGGTGGGGAAACAGTGCCAGTTGCTGGGTAGCTAACCCCTCCTTCAGTCAAGTTGCAAGTCATAAGCTTCCCTAAGGGAGGAGAGGTAAGGAAAGAAAAGCAGAACCCCCAGTTTGCTTTCCTGGAGCTATTCACTTTCTGAATCATTTACTGATCCTTCAGGCCTATCAGACTACAGGCTCCCTGTGGGCGGGTCTCCCATGTTCATTCCCTTCACAGTAACTGGAATGTGGGGCACCTAATACACTGAATAAACCTTTCCCTAATTCACTGTCTGACTGAAGGATTGGACAGTTGCCTCAACCGGCCACTTACTTAGTCTACCCACTGGAGATGGGTGGAGTGGAAGCCCTATTCTGAAAGGCCTTCTGTGTGCAAAGGAAGAGATCCCATTGAAAGTACCAATTTCTGGTGGGGTGACCCAGGCCCCTGATTCTGGGTCTTATTAATTAGGGCTCTTGGTGTCATCAAGCAGCCTCCCCATTTTCACCCACTAATCTTGTGCCCTCCTATCTTCCCCCCCACTCCCAAATCTCAGACTCTGGGGTGGGGGGGCGTGGTCCCAGATGCTGAGGCCTAGAGCAGAGTACTGGCAACTGGAGGTTGCCAGTAAAAAGGTAACCAAGACGCTGGGAAGCCCAAGACCCAGGACCTGTCTTTCAGTCTAGTTCCAGGAGGCCCATGTGGTTCCCATTAGCATGACAAGTCCAAATCCCCACCCCCAGGAAATCTCTGGCGGCCTTCATTGTACAGTGTAGGGCCTTCCCAGAGGTAAGGCAGCCACTCCATCTACTGGAGCAAAAATTAAAAATAGGCTCTGTTTATAACCAAAGCTTGAATTCTCACTTGGATGGTGACTAGGTGTGCTTTTATCCTGCCACATTTCAGTGTGGAGTGGATGTCACTGTTTCATTAGAAATGAGGACTTGTGGAGCACCTGGGTGGCTCAGTGGGTTAAGCCTCTGCTTCAGCTCAGGTCAGTCTCAAGGTCCTGGGACTGAGCCCCCACATCGGGCTCTCTGCTCAGCAGGGAGCCTGCTTCCCCTCTCTCCCTCTGCCTGCCTCTCTGCCTACTTGTGATGTCTCTCTCTGTCAAATAAATAAACAAAATCTAAAAAAAAAAAAAAAAAAGAAAGAAAGAAAGAAATGAGGACTTGTGCTAAAAAGAGAGAGTGGAGCTCAGGTTTGTTGTGCCTAAAGGTCCTAACTCCAAGAGTGGAATAAGAAGGGATTCCAAGCTCCCTAGGCCCCACTTGCTCTTGCAGAAGTCAAGAGAGACTCCCATCGGGTCTTCTCTGGGGTTTCCTGGTCAGAGTCCTGTCACCCCCCCTAGTTGAAGGAGAAGGAGCAGTTTACTCCTGAATGTGTTCCAGTGCTCCCAGACTGTACTGGCTGTGGCTGGAGATTGCTGGGGGGCGGAGGGGGTGGGAAGCGGGAGCCAGGCCAGAGGACCCTCCTCCAGAAGCCACCGTTTACCTGAGCTGGAGCCGCTTGTTTTCTGCTTTGTGTTTTGCCGAGACTCTTTCATCCAGGGGAAGATTTGTTTGGCCACGGTGGGTGAGTTGAGTAGGGGGCTCTTGGCTGCGCTGGCGGGGGTGGGGTTGCTGCTGGCATTCTGAGGTGGGGAAACTGAAGAGGGGGGAGGGGGCGCGGCAGGAGCCGGTGCTGGGGGCTGCGGCGGGGGTTGCGGCTGCTGTGGAGCTGGGGGCGCGGCCTGGGGCGGCGGCGGGGCCAGAGGTGGCTCGCCCAGGCCTGGGGGCTGGCTGGGCGGGCCGCTCAGGGTGCGCAGACACGCCTCGCTCAGCTCGTGCGCCTTGGGGTGGCCCCCGCCGCTGGTGGGCGACTGGAGGGAACAGGCGGGTCGGTGGTACTCGCCATCAGCGCCCAGTGCCGCGGACGCCGGGTACGGCTGCTGACTGGCATTATAAGCGAACCCGTTGGCTGCCTGGTAGGGGTAGCCACCGTAGATCGCGGAGCTGTCGTAGTAGGTCGCTTTTTGCATCGCGTTGTTTCACAATCTTGATCGCACACTCTGACAGTGGCTTGACACCCGTGAGGGCGCACATTGGCACGCCCCCGCGGTCACGTGACGCTCCGCCGCCAATGGCCGCCCCGCGCAGACCTGGGGGGGCGAGAATCGCAGCGCGGTGAGGGCTCCGCGCAAATCCATCTTACTCTCAATAGCTAAGTGACATGAAAGCCATAAAAGAAAAAGTGGTCAGCAATATTTAGCAGCACGACTTGGCCCCGGGCGCAGAGAGCCGCGCTATAAAAAGCCGCTGGAATTTACTGGCAGCTACAAATATTTGCTTAACTTGCGTCTGGAGTTGGGGGGTTTTCCGGGGAGAGAGGAGGAGAGTCACCGAGGGCTCGAAGCCCGGTCTCCAGAGCTGGAGTCCAACAGAAGAAAGGCTGATGGGCTAAAAAGGAGCAGGGCTGAGAGCCTTCCTTTCCAGGGAAGGAGAAACTTAGGGTGTCCCTTCATCTCCGCTCCTTGGCCTCGTCCAGTGAGACCCGGGGCTCCTTGCCTCTCAGGATCTTGGGGAAGGGGCAAGGGGGCAAAGGGGAGAGTAGGTTGCCAATTTGTTCTCCAGTCGTTTTAGGACTAATATTTGTCAAAAAGAGCCCTGACGCGGGGGGACTTCCCATCCAGCCCCTTCTTGGATCTTCCAGCACCCAACAGAGGTATGCACAAAAAACTCTAAGGCAACTGCCCTACTCTACCCCCAATGGATTTCAGAAGCTGAGCTTGTTAGGCAGTTAATCTACCCCTGTGCGGGGATATGACCTACCTCTTCCAAATGAGCCCCTTGTGGCCAAGAGGGTGGAGAAAAAACTTTAGAAAGAACATCCTGTATGGGAAGGGACCAATAACAACACTGGCTTCAGCAAGTCAAACTCAAATCCTGGACAGTTCTTTACTCCTTTCCTCTCCTTATTTTCTCAGGCACAACCCAGCAAGCCACTCCCACTTGTTTCCCCCTGTTACAGAAGGTCCCCAGACCCTCCTGCCTTGGGCTTTCTGAGGTGCTGTTATTCAGGGCAACTATCAAATTCTACCTGTTAAAACATGATGGATTATAGAAAAAAAAAACCCAACCCACCAGGAACCTGAAAAACCAGCGTTCATCTCCATGACCACGGCTTGAACTCTCCCTCCAACTTTACGATAATAGGTTCTGTCTTAGAAACTGCTATGTAATTTGATGTATGGGGGTCATTTGGCTCCGGACGAGGGATGGAAGCGCAAGCCATAAAATCCTGCCAGAGTTCCCTGATCTTTGTGTGCTGTTGTTGTTGATATTTGTTACTTAGCCGATTTACCTGCTTCAGAAACACCAACCAAAGGTCAACCCTGAAAATCTTAAAAGCAACTGAAAGCCTCCTCAACCCTTTTTAAAAATTTATTATTTAGAAAGCAGTTTGCAGAAGTGAAATCTATGTTTTATTTTTGTTTTCAGCCTTTGCATGGCCAGTCTCTGGTTCTCAGCTGAGACAAGTTCCATGTGAGTTCATATACACACACATACACACACATACAAACACACAGGATGATAGTCTCTCTGACTATTTAAGAAAACATAATGACAAATTCATGAAGAAAATGGCTTAGTTCACACCCAAACTACATATATTTTAGTCCTGGAGTCATTCAAGTTCTCTAGAAATTGCAGAGACTTTGTTAACTAGAAAACACCATCCACCAACAGATGATTACAATTCTGTTTTCAATAATGGGCTTCTCTGGATTTTTATTATTAAACCAACAATCAGACCAACATCTGGAAAACAAGCACAATTAATTTTCCAGAACCTCAATTAAAAATTACAGCTTCTTTTATCCGAACTTACTGTGCGTGATCTTGAGCCCTGGAGTATTGTTTCTATTTTGGAATAGATAGGAAGCTACAGATACCATGATCGAAAATAAATAAAGAATAAAATAAAATTTAAAACTGAATAGCAATCGAATGTCTCAGTTTCCTGTTCTTTCACTGAAAACAGTTCTTATTATATTTGGCAGTGTTAATGTCTGCCATTATAAATTCTTAAGATACTAGGCTTGTGTAAAATAAAATGTCAGGTTAAGAAAATTACTCCAGACACTTGAGCAGCAAGATATTAGATAAAACAAAATGAAGGTGATTTTGAACGTGTAACATTTCAAGTGACTTGCTAATCCATTATCACAAGCTATATTGGCCTGCTGCTTACTTAAGTCTTTTCATCAGGTTGTGCATTGTCTTGTAAATAACAAAAACACCATGAAAAACCAAAGAGCATACAACAGTCCCTATAATATGAATTCACCTCAGAGATCCCACCAAAGTCCTCCCTATTGTTTGAGGTCAGCAGACAACTACCGTGGGGCCCACACATTTACCCCCTCCTGCCCTCACCCCAGCCCCCAGAGTTTGCAACCTAGTAAAGAAGTTGGATATCTGCCAGTCTGGAAACTTGCTTTGCACCCGCGCCCCCCCCCCCACCCCAAGCAAGGGCTGGGATGGAAGGAGATTCCTCCGAAAAGATCTGTTTCTGGACAGTAACCCCCAGGTGCAAGAACTGAGAGTTGAGAAGGCTAAATTGAGTACAGAAAGCAAACCCTATTGTCTTTCTGGGAGATCTGCCCAAATTCAACCTCCTTCCTTCAGAGACCGCTCCCTGTTTCCACTCCTGCCCCTTCCTCAGCCTGCCCTCACCCCGAGTTTAAGCGGGAATATCGGGTAAGAGCCCCCCTGTCCCCTTGCCCACCCTCCCTCCCTCCCCAACCCAGAAAAGTTGGGGCTGGGCTAGGGGAGAGGGAAGAGGTGGGGGCGGGGATGGGAAAGCGGCCTGAACTCGAAGTGTAAGGGTATCAGTCACTGCCGGGAAGGAAGCTCCGGCTTGTGAACTCTTCTTGAACCGAGATTTAAGTCTGCAGCCATAAATCACCGAGACGTAAACTCCGCCATTCAGCGCTGAGAGCGGCCGGTTGTGGCCCTGCTTACCTTAACTTCTGAGGAGCGCCGCGAGCGCAGGCTCGGGCTCGGGCTCCGGCCCCCGGCCCGGATCGGCAGCCCGGCCGGGTCCCCTAGGCGCGGGATGGGCACCGACCCTCAGCATCAGCCGAGACGGCAGGCGGGAGGGAGACCCCAAGGCCCGGACGCCGAGGCGCAGAGCGTGGCGGCTTCGCTGCTCCGGCAAGGCTCGCCCAGGGCGGACTGGGGCGGCTTGGACCCCCCCCTCCCACCCACCCCACCCACCCACCCCTCCCCCACACCCCCGCCCCCTGCCCTTCCCGAGGGCAGCAGCCGCGGCCCGGAGATAAGCGCTAGCGCGGCGCAGGGCTCTGCCTGGGCTAGTGGCACCGACTTGGGTATGTTTCTTATGAATATTACACGCGGAGCAGCGTCTGGTCGGGGGGGGGGGGGGGCGGTGGGGGGTGCTGGGGGCGGGCGGGAGGGGAGGCCGAGGCGGCTGGGGAAGCGCGGGGCGGCGTGGGGGATGGGGCTAAGGCGAGGGGAGGGACAGGAGCGAGAGGGGGAACTCGGCGGCGGCGGGAGGAGGGCAGCCTCCCCCCAACCCCCAACGCCCTCCCTCTCCTCGCTTCTAGGCGTCACTAAAGTCCAGGAAAATTATGCTAATGAGGACAAAGGGCTCTCACAAAGGGGCTCTCTAGCCGGGCTCTATTTCTTAGGAATCCATTTGAGAAACCACATAACGCCTGCCCTGGACACTTCCAGTTGGGGTGCAAGGGGAAAGAGAATCAGGAGGCGAGTTCCCCAGACTTTGGGCACTTTACCACATCTGTCACCCCCAATCTGAGAACCTCAAAGGCACTCTTTGGGGGGCAGAGGTACGGCTTCCTTTCTCAAGAGACCTCCTCAAAAACCAACTGGGCTGTCTTTGGTTATACTTTTAAGCAAAAACCCTTAAAATTCTGGCAGCCAGGAGGGAAGTAGCCTGGGGGAGATGCGCATAAGCCCAGGCAGTGAAAGGGGATGCTCTGGGCTCAGGTACACACTAGAATGCCTAGAAAACTGGGTCTCCAGCTTTTTGGTGCCCATTTCCCAGTACAGACAGGCAGCTCAATGGCAGGGAAAAACATAAAACTCTCACCCCAACGCCAACGGTGTCTATGATGTTTCCCCCTCAATTAGTGGTATGCAGGGACCCTAAGCAGAGGAAGGGCCAGAGTGTGCCCGGCAATATTGCCACAACTTTAAGGAGGATGGGCTTCCTGCCTTCTAATGCCCCCCTCAACTCCCCAGAGTCCGAAGTGAACTCTGCAAGGGTATGTGTGTGGCAAAAAGAGAAATGGAGCTTTCGTGCAATTCCAAGGTGTCAACGGCCAGTCCTTCTCAAAGGAAGGTGTTAAAAATATAAGTAGTATGTTTAAACTGTCAGGGAGCCAAAGTGTCACCTTAGAGCAAAAACAAAGCCAAGGGAAAAGGGAGAAATCAAAAAGCACTCCTGGCCAGGGTGGCCTCATGCATACCAATGGTTTTTGTCATTTATGGCTGGGCAAGATTTATGACTCGGCGCCCCAAAGCTGTAAACAGAGCACAAAACAGCAAACACTTGCTCCTCATGGCATATTGCGGCGTAACTTGAAAGGGGGAGCCGGGCAGCGTAGGAGGTGAGAGCCGCCGCAAAAATCCGCTCGGCTGCATTTTCTCTTCAAACCGGCCGGGTCGGATGTGGCATTTGAAGAAAGAAGGCGTGGGTCAATAATCAACCCGCACTTTCTCCTCCAAACTGCTGACACGACTCTCGCCGCCTTCTCAGCTAAGCCAGCTGCAGGGAAGGCCAGCTTTCCGTGAGAACCTGCCAGGGGAGGGGAACTCCTGGGCCAAGAGGGCCGAGGGCGCCGCGGTGAGGGCTGGGGCAGCTGGGGAGCATACCTTTTCAAAGGCGCCAAGACCATGCCGGGCAAAATTCTGGGACTGGACTGGAGGAGCCACGGGACCCTAGGGAAAGCTGGGGCGGGAGGTCGGGACAGGGTCCCCACCAGTCCCAGACTAGGTGGCTTTGGGGTG